AATTCTTGTAGAGGTGCAAATGCAAGGAGTAGCAAGACAAAAGTGAAAAAATGCATAGCACACTCAGATGGCCGATGTCCAAAAGCTTTTTTTTTTTTTTTTCAAAATAACATTTCGGCAAAAAAAAAAAGCCTTCATCAGATATTTTTCTTGCTTTGGACCACAGCACACGTACTTTAATTTAACCAATCGCTGCTGTTTGGTCGTGACGTATGTAATGCGCTGCTAACGGGACTAAGCTTTCCCCAAATCCCGTAGGAAGAAGGCAATAACGTCTTTCCCCTTGATAAAATTCACCAAACATTCTCTTTGTTCCGGCTTTAAATCCTTAATCTCTGGAATCATTGCCAATACAGAATATATGGCTCTTCGCTGATTGGCTGGTGCCCAAACTTGCACTTCCAGGGGTTTTGTGAACCGTCTAGTGTATTTCGATTCCTGACCTAGTCACTGGAGAGAAATTAAATTGAGCGGAGGCACTAGGTGGTGTGTATACACAGTCAGTTTACAGTTCGAATTCAGACTGGGCGCGCGCTGTTGTTGAGTCCCCGGTAAGATCGACCTTCTGGAGTACTCTAGTCGCTGTAATGGCTTGAAGAGAGGAAGGGTCCGATGAGGTTCATTTGGTCTTCCAATAATTTATGTTATTAGGTTCTTTTTTCAGACCAAGGGTTTGTTTTCATACCTGACAGATTCGACTGCTCACAGGACTATAAACTGGGACGAGGGGGCTTTTTTACTCTCACACACCTGGGATACTGTCCTGAGGAAGTGGGACTGCAGATGGCGCTGTCGTCCTGCCCCCACCGGTAGGAAGACAGCGCCAAAACCTGTATAAATAGGCTGACAGGACACGTCACAGCAACATCACGTGACCACTTTGAAGAAGACCGCGAGTGAGCAGTTGAAACTGTAAGGTATGAAAAACAAACCCTTGGTCTGAAAAAAGAACCTAATAACATAGAGACTGGAAGGGCATCTGGTATAAAAGAATAGTTCCTAATAGTTCCTAAAAGACTTCTAAGGTCAATGTCCCTCAACGATATTTTGATAATAAACTGAATTTTGGTTATTGCTGGGTAAACATTTTATCTAAATGACAAAAAAGATGACATTTGTAATCACATTGATGAATTCTGATTTTAAATTTTTCTTTTGAGACGTTTAATTATTGCCATTGAACACAAAGAAGTCTAATGTTTTCCAACAAACTCTGAACTCTGCTCCAAATGGCATACTTTTTGGGAATATCTTCATTATAAAAATCCAACTGATCATTGAGTTTAGGCTCTTAAAGCATTATTTTCCACAGATTTCCACTTTTCTTTTTTAATAATTTCAAACCAAAACGTCAACATGAGTCTAATAAAAGACTAAATAATGCTTTTACTGTCCAAACTCATGTGAGAAGAAGAATATTAACAGCAATCTTAAACAAAAGTGAAGCAAATATTACGACTGTAAAAAATAAACTGACGCCAACCACAAAGCAGCGTTTACTGAAAGTGCTTCTAGAGGCAGGTCAGCGAGGAGACGAGTTTTCCATTTCAAAACAGCCACAGATGGGTTAAATATACCACTCTAGTCCCGAAAAAACCTCACTGGACTATTTTAACTCATGCAAATAAGCCACGGTCTAAGAATACAGCTGTTAAGAAGAATACAGCCACTCTGAGGCATGGGAGCTGAGACGGGACGAGAACTGAGTGAAAGTTTGGCCTGATTTGAGGGGGAAATGGGAATTATCAAGGGTTTTTTGTTTATTTTGTATTTTTTTGGATTAAAGTAAGAATTTTGAGTTGGGAAAACATCTTGAGACTTAAAATAATACCAAAATAAGTAATAATAGATGAGATGTGACTATGTCTCTTCTAGTACTGAGTTGAAATTTGCCTCGATTTGGACGAAAATTGGAAATTATCAATGTTTTTTTGGGTTATGTAATTTTTTTGGCCCAAAGTAAGAAATCTGAGTTGAAAAAAAATCTTGAGACTTAAAAAAAATACCAAAAATAAATAATAATAGATGAGACGTGACTATGCGTCTTCTGCTACTGAGTCAAAGTTTGCCTTGATTTGGAGGAAAATCAGAAATTATCAACGTTTTTTGTGTTGATTTGTCATTTTTTTTGGCACAAAATAAGAAATTTTAGTTGAGAAAATGTCTTAAGACTTAAAAAAATACCAAAATAAATAGTAATAGGTGAGACATGACTATGCGTCTTCTAGTACTGAGTCAAAATTTGTCCCGATTTGGAGGATGTTTTTTTTGTTTGTTTGTTTTGATTTGTAATTCTTTGGCTCAAAGTAAGACATCTGAGCTGAGAAAATGTATTGAGACTTTAAAAAATAGATGAGACGTGACTATGTGTCTTCTAGTACTGAGTCAAATTTTGCCTTGATTTAGAGGAAAATCATAAATTATCAAAGATTTTTGTTTTGTTTTCAGCTCAAAGTAAGAAATTTGTTGAGAAAACATCTTAAAATACCAAAATAAGAAATAATAGCTGAGACGTGACTGTGTGTTTTCTACTACTGAGTTGAAGTTTGCCTTGATTTGAAAGAAAATTGGAAAATTATCAATGTTTTTTTGTGCTGATTTGTAATTTTTCAGTTCAAAGTAAGAAATCTGAGTTGAGAAAATGTATTGAGACTTAAAAAAATACCAAAATAAATAAAATAAATATTGTTAAGACGTGACTATGCGTCTTCTGGTACTCAAAGTTTGCCCTGATTTAGAGGAAAATTGGAAATTATCAAAGCTCTTTTTTTTTTTTTTTTTTTTGATTTGTCATTTTTCATCTCAAAGTAAGAAATTTGAGTTGAGAAAATGTATTGAGACTTTAAAAAAATACCAAAATAAACAATAATAGGTGAGACATGACTATGTGTCTTCTAGTACAGAGTCAAAGTTTGCCTTGATTTAGAGGAAAAATTGGAAATTATCAATGTTTTTTTTTTAATTGTTGTTTTGTTTTGATTTGTTATTTTTTGGAGCAAAGTAAGACATTTGAGAAAATATAAAAAATTACCAAAATATGACAAAATATGACTTTTACTGGAGAGGTTTTGAATGAAATCACCTTGTAGTATGAAATGAACTCCAATTATTTTATGTTCAAAATGACTCTTGCAGTTATTAGTTTTCAGCAGCACGTCTTTTCTTAGTATCAAAACCACCTTTTTTTTTTTTTTTTTTTAGTATCGTGACATCACTAGTAGATGTAGCTATATGCAGTAGTAGTAATTGTAGCGTTCCAATTTGACTAATCCAAGAATGTATTTCAGAATCTGTTTGTATAAGAGGAAACTACAGGGAGGGCATCTGACACAAAGAGACATTTCAGAACATGTAGAGATCTAAACTACACAGCAAAAAAAAAAAAAAACTTCTGGGGTTGTCAAAATGTATGAATAATCTGGGGTAATTTTTACACTCAAATAACATGAATCTGTGAGAACTACAATTTATTTAATAGGAATAGTCAAACTTTACTTATTTTACTCAAGTAGTCGAAGTTTAAGGAGTAAATTGTTTAAGGAGTAAGTATATCTCTACGTGTTTGGGCTGAGGAGAGCGTTTGTCCACTGACCCACAGGTTGGAGGTGCGATTCCAGCTCCCACAGATGAATGCTGTTGTTGTGTCCTTGGGCAAGACACTTAACCCAGTGTGTGCGTACACTGGTGTATGAATGCGTGTGTGAGCGGTTCATTGTTGTAAAGCACTTTGCGAGAATTGAAGGTGGAAAAGTGCAATATAAAAATGTTTTATGTAAATGTATATAGTTATTATACATCAGTAAATACTAGACATATTATCTTTATTTCATTATTTCATCACAGCAATGCAATAAATTATGACTATATTTCATGTATTTTACTTAATTTATTTACATGAATATGACTTCTAACTTCTAACTTTGAATTGAGTAACAATTCATGACTGTTTTTACTTAAAGGGCCCATCTCATGCAAAATAACTCTTTTCACGTTGTATCTTCTGCACATAAACAAGCACAATTTGGGTTTTGGAACATCCATTACACAATAGTTCTGAAATCTTACTGATTTCTTGGATTCAGTCACAGACCAGGAACTATGAAAGACCGACTATTGCTCATCCCCCCGCCCGTCCTGAGAAAGCACAGGCTCCGCCCTCCAAACGTGACGTAGGCTCTGAGTGAGCCGCCCTTCCTCCGCCATCTCAGGGAGGGAGGGGGAGACAGACGTGCACCCTGATAGTGGTAGGAATAAACTTTTATTCATCATGGAGATACAGCCGCATGTGTTGGACCCGGAATCGGACGAGGACGTCGACATCAGCTGAACATTACTGATTGGTAAAGTATTAATAAACACTAGTAGATAAACTTATTATATCGTGGACACTGCAGTCGGGGCGGAGGTGGTGGAGAGGGGGACGCGTCATAGGTGTATCTGCCGCGTCATCGTTGTAGCAGCTTTATTTCGTTGTCACGTGGGAGGGTGGAAGAAATACGCTGCAATTTGTTAAAAAAAACACCAAAACAATCTAAAAAAACACTTCAGCGACATATACAAGTCCCACACATCACTCTTAGAAGGTAGAAAGCTCTGAAAAGTTGATTTTGCATGAGATGGGCCCTTTAACTCTGACAAGTAAATTGTACCTGATATTAGTGCAGTCAAATTGACTTAAAAACTGCAAGTGCAAATTGTTACGAGGATTTTTTCATTGTTCATATTCATTATTTTTTTCAGTGTACAGGTTAAGCAGCTTTTACACTAGAGATGAAGACGCGGGGAGGGCATCTGGACCATTTCAGAACACGTGACCCACAAGACTCTCCACGGACATAGAAATATTAAGTTTCATACACCTAGATATTTTTGATTTTGTTTTGTCATTTGCTCATTTTGATGATTCAAATTGCGATTCGTCTTCCAGCGCTGGCAGATGTTCACACACACACACACACACACACACACAGAGACACACACACACACACATACGTACTCACAGTTTTCGCTCTGGAAGTCCGGGACAAACTGCTCATCATTGTCGGGAACTTGAGCTGCACAAAAGAGACACAGAAGAAGAGAGTGATGCGGATGGACAGAGCCGAGAGACGAGGAAAAAAAGAGAGAGAAAGGAAAAAAAAAAAAAAAAAAAAAAAGAGGTAACCGTGGTAACCCTGTCCTGCCCCCTAGGAAATCCAACAAAAAAGTGAACATTATTTTAGCATTTTACATACATATATACAGTATTTATTACCTGTTTTTAAATATTTATTGTTATATTTTATGTTTTTTACCTTTCATTATATTTTTTTTTTTTCTTGTTTTATAACCAAAATAAATAAATAAAACACATATTGCCAAATCTTGCATTCTTAAGTTACTGTAAGTTTGGCTATACAATGACAAAAATGTTACAAATTTGCGTTTTTAGTTTACAAATTCAATAAAAAATCACACATGTATAGAGACAAATCTTTCTTATGTGCAAATTTATTAAAGATTTTTCAAGACCTAGAATAATATGACAAAACTGATAAGAAAAATTACTAACAAATGATTTGAGAGGGTGATTTTTTTTTGTTGCACAAGTTTTCTCACACAAAGTAAGCCTGAGATTCCTTTTGCCTTGAACAAATTAAGGGGTGAGAAATTGCAAAGAATATTTTATCATTTTGAATTGGATGAATTCTCTTTTGTCTTATACAGTTTGACTTCCTCAACCTTTCATAATTTGATTTCCTAATTATTTTTGTTTGTTTAATCCACTATTATGAGGAGAACAGAGGCGAATGCTGTTGTGATTTGTGACTTAACAAAAATGAATTGAATCAAGATAAGATAGAAGTGAAAAGGCTTCAGTTTCTACCTGAATCGTTGCAACAGGTGAAAGAACTGAGCACTGTTGACTCAAAATTAAGATGTTTGAACTAAAAAATAAATAAAACAAATAAATAAATACAACAAAAAACAAAAACAAACAAACAAACAAACAAAAAAAAAGGATTAGCCTTGGCCTTTTGTATTTTTTGATTAACCGTCAATCTTTTTTTTTTTTTATTTTTTTTTTTTTTATATTATATTATATATTATATGTTTTATTATTATTATTCATCTTCAGTCTTATTTAATTTTTGTCAACTTTTTTTTATTTATATATTCTGTAATGGAATAATGTCATAATTTTACTCAAAAATCTTGAGTTTTTGTTATTATTATTATTTTTACCTTTTTAATTTTTAAGAGCCACTTTCCATGTTCATTAAAATACGATAAATAAAGGCAAAAAGAAGAAAAGAAAAGAAATGCCTCAACTTTTTTTTTTTTTCTTTTTCTTTTTTTTGTATTTTTTAATGAAACTTCAATACTTTTATGTGATAATTTTACTCAAAAATCTTAAGTTTATCACAACTGGATTTCTTTTTTTTTTTTTTTTTTTTTTTTACATTATTAGTATTTAACTGCCACTTTTCATGTTAATTATGTTAATTAACATGTTTTTTTTTTTGGTTTTTTTTGATGAAGCTTCAATAATAATTTTACTCAAAAATCTGGAGTTTCCCTGAGTTTGCGCTTGTCACAAATGTAAGACAAGACTGATTTAGATTTTTAGTTTTGTTAATGACCTCTTTTCATCTCATTTAAAATATATTCCACAATAAATAAATAAATTAAAAATCTTGCCCAGTTTACCCAGTTTAACCATTTTAGTGCATGTCTACACCACTACTATATTTTTTTTACTTGACATCCTAGTTCCTGAATATCATTTTTTAGCAGTGCGTGGGCCTGGAAACTCTGGACCAGTCTAGTTTGGAGCTGGACCTGATGCTTTGTGCTTTTTTAAGACCAAAATATCGAGGCTCACAGCAGCTGTTACAGAGAGAGGGCTCATCATTTTTCAATGTAAAGTCAATTGGAGCCAGAGTCTATGGAGCCAGAAGTGTGCCCATGCTCACTTCCTATTTGGAACGCTATGGTTAGTTATATTCATTTATATTTACAGTCGGTTTACGGTTCGAAACCAGCCTTAATTCGTGCTGTTGTGTCGCCGGGCAAAACATTAGTTATTAGTTGCTGTAATGGCTTGATGAGACAGGAAGGGCATCTGGTCTAAAAAATAGTTCCTGAGTAGATGTAATTACTACAATGGCGATCATTATCTACACTATCCACAGTGTCCCCTCCACACTCCCACTGTTCACTGTGATTCATTCATAAAACACATACACTGACCAATTTAACATTCTCAAGTTACTGTGAGTTTGGCCCAGTAATGTTATGATTTGATAAGATAAGAGGTAAAGAGATGTATACAAAAAGTACAACAAAAATTAAACACATTTGCATTTGTTAGTTTAAAAAAATCAAATAAAGCTCATACAGATATAATGACAAAACTTGCAATTGCATTATTAAATTATTGCAAGTTTGGCTGTTTAAAACCATAAAGAGATGTATACAGGACAAAAAGAATATGAGAAAAACTATACAAATTTGTGTTTTTAGTTTAGAAAATCAAGCAAAAATCATGCAGATATAGTGACAAATTTGCCTTACTGCAAGTTTGGCAAAATAATGTTATGGGATTATCTATGTTTAAAAACATTAAGGATGTATACAAAAAGTATGACAAAAATTATAAGAATTTGTTTTTAGTTTAAAAAAAAATCAAACAAAAATCTGGCAGATACAGTGGCAAATCTTGTTTTCTGAAGTTATTGCAAGTTTGGCCAAATTATATTAAGGGTTCATTTGTTTTTAAAACCATTAAGAGATGTATACAAGACATAGAAATATACAATAAAAATTACACAATTTTGTGTTTTTAGATTTAAAAATTCTAGTAAAAATCACAGAGATATAGTGACAAATTTTGCTTTCTTAAGTTACTGCAAGTTTGGCCAAAATATAATGTTACGTGTTGGACTATGTATAAAACCATTAGGAGATTTATACAAAAAGTATGACAAAAATGATACAAATTAGTGTCTTTAGGTTAAAAATTCTAATAAAAATCTTGCAGGTCTAATGAAAAATCTTGCATTCTTGAGTTACTGCAACTTTGGCCAAAATATAATGTTAAGCGTTGATTGTGAGATGTATATAAAACGTACGCCAAAAATTATGCAAGTTTGTGTTTTTAGTTTAAAAAATCTAATAAAAATCAGGCAGATACAGTGACAAATCTTGTGTGCTTAAGTTTCTACAAGTTTGGCCAAATGATATTAAGGTTAGGTCTGTGTTTAAAACCATTTAGGAATGTATACAAGACACAGAAAAAGACGCCAAAAATGATACAAATTTGCGTTTTTAGTTTAAAAAAATCTAATACAAATCACACAGATATAGTGACAAATACACAAAATCCAGAGTTACTGCAAGTCTGGTCAAAATACAATGGTCTGTGTTTAAAATCATTAAGAGATATATATATAAAGTATGGCAAAAATGATACAAATTTGCGTTTTTAGTTTTAAAAATCTAAAAAAATTCTTGCGTCCTTGAGTTCCTGTAAGTTTAGCCAACTAATATTAATGTTAGGTCTGTGTTTTAAACCATTTAGAGATGTATACAAGACATAGAAAAAGACAACAAAAATGAAACAAATTTGCGTTTTTAGTTTTAAGAATCAAATAAAAATCTTGCGTCCTTAAGTTAGTGTAAGTTTGGCCAAATGATGTTAAGGTTAGGTCTGTGTTTAAAACCATTTCGAGTCGTATACAAGACATAGAAAAAGACACCAAAAATGCTACAAATTTGTGTTTTTAGTTTTAAAAATCAAATAAAAACCTTGCATCTTTAAGTTACTGTAAGTTTTACCAAATGATATTAAGGGTTGGTGTGTATTTAAAACCATTTAGAGACGTATACAAGACATAGAAAAAGACGGCAAAAACGATACAAATTTGCGTTTTAAGGGTAAAAAATTAAATAAAAAATCTTGCATGCTTAAGTTCCTATAAGTTTAGCCAAGTACTATTAAGGTTTGGTCTGTGTTTAACACCATTTCGAGATGTATACAAGACATAGAAAAAGATGGCAAAAATTATACAAATTTGTGTTTTTAGTTTTAAAAATCAAATCAAAATCCTTCATCCTTAAGTTAGTGTAAGTTTGGCCAAATGATATTAAATTTAGGTCTGTTTTTAAAACAATTTCGAGACATATACAAGACATAGAAAAAGACAACAAAAATGATATAAATTTGCATTTTTAGTTTTAAAGATCAAATAAAAATCTTGCGTCATTAAGTTATTGCAAGTTTGGTTAAATAATATGAAGGTTTGGTCTGTGTTTAAAACCATTTCGAGACATATACAAGACATACAAAAGACGACAAAAATGAAACAATTTGCGTTTTTAGTTTTAAAAATCAAATATAATCTTGGGTCCATAAGTTAGTGTAAGCTTGACCAACTAATATTAAGGTTAGGTCTGTTTTTAAAACCATTTCGAGACGTATACGAGATATAGAAAAAGACGCCAAAAATGATACAAATTTGCGTTTTTAGTTAAAAATCGACTTAAAATCAAGCGGTTATCGCGACAAATCCACACTGTTCCTCTCCCCCGCCACACTCCCATTGTTCTCTGTGTTTAATTGGCTTCCTCCCCGCGGCTGGACCCACCTGTACCCACGGCGCAGGCTTCGAAACGGGGCTCCTCACCTGCTCACTCCCCCCTCCATACCCCCCCCGCCCCACCGTACCCGCTAATGCCCAAATAATGAAGCCTTCGCCGATTAGATATTTTCATTTGATGTGCGTTTTAGAGGGGAGTTTAAAATGTCATTAGCAGGTCTATTTATACCCTGAATACAGAGGGGGCTGTCATTATCGCGGGGACGAGTTCAGACATGCGCGGGGTCGTCGAAAAAGGGGGAAAAAAAGACGGATTTTCCATTTGTGACACTTTTCATATCATGTTTTCTCGCCCGAGGTGTGAATTAAAAAGAGTAAATAATTAACAGATCGTAGAGAGAGAGAGAAAGAGGTAATATTTTCCAACAATGGTAAACAGGTGGAGGCAGCGTAAACAAGAGCTCAAATGAGGTTTATGAATTTTTATACATATGTTTTTTTATGTAATACATTATCATTTCAGATTTTTTTTGTCCTGAATTGTAATTTTTATGCTCAAAGTAAGAAATATAGAGAATGAATAAGAAATATATTGATGCTTACAAACATAGAACAAAATTTGACTTTTTCCTAGTGAGGTTTTGAATGGGACTAATATAGAATACATTGTAATATTCAATTAACTGAAATTTGTTTTTACAGTAATTAGTATTGAACAGCGAGGTTTTTTTTTTTTTTTTGGAGTATTTTAGTATCTTGACAACACTAGCAAATATTTTCAGTAGTAGTAGTAGTAGTAGTAGTAGTAGTAGTAAGTAGTATTCAAATTTGACTAAACCCTGTATTGCAAAGTAATCAAATTATCCAGATTTCGGAGTATTTTTGTATCAGTGTAGCTTTAATAAAGAAGGTGGTGGAGACGCTGGGAGGGCATCTGACGCAAAGAGACACTTCAGAACATGTCTGTATAGATTTAAAGTACAGGATTAGCAATGTTTTTTTGTAAATTAAGATAAAAAATATCAAGTTTCGAACATCTATAAAATACTATAATACCTATTAAATTGAATATTGACATTTTGTGAGCAATTTCACATGATTTAAAATGACAAAATTTGACATTTGTACAGTATTTCAAAACATTTAAACAGATATATTTTTTCAGCTTTTACTTTCTGACCAGAATATAATGTTAAGGCCCGGTCTGTGTTTAAAAAGTATGACAAAAACGACAAAAATTTTCATTTTTAGTTTTAAAAAATTGAATTAAACTTTTGTGTTTTCATCGCAAAATAGCTCTCTTGTCTAATTGGAATTGATAACAAAAGTCCAGAGTCTGTTTAACATCTCATTTACAGCAAATTTTCTGTTTGAAATTTGAAATCGGTAGGAAAGAAATGTAAATAAACCCCCGAGTACATTTGAATACATTTGAATAAAACATGCATATTTTACAACCGAATTAAATCTCGTTACATCAATTTAGTACTTTTTTTGGATTAAACAAACAAACAATAAAAAAAATAAATAAATAAAAAAAACAGTCTGACACAAAAAGCAGCGCGTGATAAAGGACTAAAATAGTGTCTTAGCGGAAGAGTATAGGATGGATGAGTCACCGGAACCAGGTTTGTTCTAAAGCCAAGCTGCACCACCAAGTCCTGCAGAGACTCAGATCTGGAGAGGAGCCATCATTCACAAAAAACACACACACAAAAACTACAACAAAAAAAAAAAAAAAAAAAAAAAAAACAACTATAGAAAGTACACATGGGAGGAGAGGGCAGGTGCTGGTCTGCAACATCACTAAATCAAAGGCAAAAATGTTCAAATTTCAATATCTGAGAGGTTTCAGTTTGAATTATTATCATAATCATAATCAGTCATTTGAATTATTACTGATTATGTTTTTGTCAAGTCAACTGTTGTGATTTTGAGCAATACAAAAGTAAATTTCAAAATTGTTATCGAAAATGTATGTGTGTATGGAAATATGAAGTGAAACAAAAATGTATCTAAAAATATTCCAACATAATATTCGAAAAGTTCAGTTTGTGAAGTTTGAAGTTTTTGCATTGAGTGGTATGAATACACATTGAATTAAAAAAATGAACTGAAAAAACGTGTTTGGAGACATGTATTTGAGAAGTTCATAACATTTTCGTCAAGTGATTGTAATGATATTGGGAGATACAAAATCAAACTGAATTGAAAATTATGCTGGAAATATGGTTGATCTGAACATTTCTGATCTAAAAATTTTAAAAATATTTGAGTAGTTCTTAGTGAAGAGACAGTCATTACAAAAAATCTAATGAAAATTTAAACTGTTATGTTATGATACTAGGTTACACGTAAACATACAATGAAATTTGTACGTACATTTTAGAATTACAGCTGGAAAAAAAGAAAGGAAAAAAAAAACCTGAAATCTAAAAATATTCCAACATGTATTTGAGAAGTTCATAACATTTTCGCCAAGTGATGATAATGATATTGAGTGATACAAAATCAAACTGAATTGAAAATTACACTGAAAAAATGGTTGATTTGAAACTTTCTGATCTAAAAATTTTAAAATATTTGAGTAATTCTTAGTAAAGAGACAGTTGTTACAAAAAATCTAATGAAAATCTGAACAGTTATGTTATGATACTAAAAAAAAAAAGAAAAAAAAAAAAGTGAAACCTAAAAATATTCCAACAGGTATTTGAGAAGTTCATTTTCGCACATTTTCGTCAAGCGAAAAAATCAAATCAAAAACATGGTTGATTTGAACATTTCTGATCTAAAACACCTGTTCTGTAAGTAGTTCATAAGTCTTTACAAAAAATCTAATGAAAATATGAACAGTTATGTTATGATATTAGGTTATACGTAAACAAATACAATACAATATTTGCGTACATTTAAGAAGTACAGCTGAAAAAACCTAAAATCTAAAAATATTCCAACAGGTACTTTTTGAGGAGTCCATAAGTAGGACATACGCCGGAAACCCAGCCTCATAATTCCAGCTCTCGTTCCAATTACCTGTAGCCATAAATCTCGAAAATGAAGAGGTATTCCTTATATGGTAATAGACAGGAAGTGGCTCATTAAATCGGCATAGTATTGAAGTTAAAGTGTCATTTCTAACAGTCATACCTCGTCTCGCCGCTTCACGTCTCCTCCTGAAATATTAAACGCCCTTAAAGTCCTTCTCCCGTCTTTGTCCGACCGTGTGCGCGCGCGAACGGATCGGATTCGAGATGTTCAGAACTAAAAATATAGCTTTAATAGAATCGTTTTGAGAAGGTTTTAGAAGATTTAAGACGGAGAAGATGGAGAGGGAAGGGGGGGACAGAGGAGAGGTGATGCTCGACGCGTGGATGACAATTGGAAATGAGTAAACTGTGAAATTTCATCGCTTAAAAATGAATCGTGTTTAAATTTGAAGGCAGATTTGGTTAAATTTGATATTTGAAACTGGAATTTTCTATAAATTTGCATTAACACAATATCTTTAACCTGAAACTGAAGACAAAAGAAAATATTTAAGTGTGGAGAGAGTTTGGAATGGAAAATAAAAGTGAAAATAAAGAAACGTTTTAACATAAAGAGATGAGAGCTTGTAAAATTTTATAAAACATGTAATTATTTTTGTTTCATGAAGCGAAAATCAAATAAAATTCTGACTTTTCAACACTGTGTTTCTCAGTTGGACGCATGTTGAGATCAGAAATAACGTTTGTGCACTTTCATTTGCAGCTTTAACCAAATTGCGTTGTGTGTTTTGTCCTCAAATCACGCAAGAGAATTCTGTTTTTAAATCCAAAGTACATTTGAAAGTAAATTTGAATCTATAACCTCGCAAAGATTTTTCTTCTAAATTATACATAAAATCGTCAGTGTAATGATCCGAGGTTCACCAGCGCATTTACATTGTGCAAATGCGTAGTGTCCTCCAGACTTTATTCTTAGAATCACACACAAGATCAGATTTATGTTAAATTTCATTCAAAGGAAATTAAAATTCTGACATGGTTCGTCCGAAGGTTTATTAATTTTAAAATAAAGTTATAGACAAAAAAAAATGACACTAATGCCATAAAATTTTAAATGTTTTCATAACGCTTTGGTCTTAAATCGACACACAAGATCAGAATTTTGTTTTTAAATTGACTTCAAAGCAAATGAAAATATATAACCTAAAATTTTTATGTCAGTTGCAAAGCTTTCTCTACAAAATAATATTCAAAAAGTGAAGCTATTACTACAAAATTAAAGGGTTTTTCACGTTGCATTTATATTGTGCAAATATTGTGTTACTTTGGTCTTAAAACTTCACGCAAGGTCAACATTTTGTCTTTGAATTTACCTCAAATGAAAATGAAATATAAACTAAACAAAAAAATCTGATTGGCAGTCTGATTGTAAAGCTTTTTGTACACAATTATACCCAAAAAGTGAAACTAAAACTGCAAAATTTAAAGCTTTTTCATGACAAATGTCTATTGTCTGAAAGTACAAAGAAGATTAGAATTGTGTTTTTAAATTTACTTCAATGCAAATGAAAATATATAATCAATATTTTCGATATAGTACCCTAAAACCTTTTGTTCTACAAAATCATACACAAAAAGTGAAATTAAACTACACATTTTAAAGCTTTTTCAAGACAAATCTCTATTGTTTAAAAGTAACAAGAAGATCAGAATTTTGTTTTTAAATTTACTTCAAAGCAAATGGAAATATATAACCAAAATTGTCAGTATTTGCAAAGCTTTTTCTACAAAATTATACACAAAAAGTCACAGTACCACTACAGAATTGAAGGATTTTTAACTACAAATTCCTATTTTGTAAAAGTACAAAGAAGAGCAGAATTCAGTTTTTAAATTTACTTCAAAACAAATTAAAATATATTGTACTTGGAAAGCTTTTTCTACACTATTATACTTAAAAGTTCAACTAAAATTTGCAAAATGTAAGGCTTTTTAACTAAGAATTTCTTTTGTCTAAAAGCACAGACAAGATCAGAATTCTATTTTTAAATTTACTTCAAAGCAACTTAAATTTGATATAACACTTTCTCTACAAAAATTAAGCACAACAAGTGAAACTAACACTGAAACGTTTTTAACAACAAAGTTCTATTGTGTTTTTTAAATTTACCTCAAAGCAAATGAAAATATTTAACCTAAAATTCTGCTTCTGATCTCTAAACACACAAAAACACACACACGAGACACAACATCGAGGGCCTTTTAACGCTAAAATAACCCCGAAACCTGAGTTAAACCCATGACACATATTAACACTTCCAGAGTAAAAAAAAAAAAAAAAAAAAAAGAAATGTTAAACTTGACTGACCGAAACCTCGATGCTGGAGACATTGGGGAAAGAGAACGCCGGCGCTTAAATCCTGCAGCATCACGTCCCTCCTGAACGCCTGGCCATGGACCGCCAACTTCGCGAACTTACGGGGCGCTTCGGGAAGTCTTCTCTCTTAAAAGTTTACGGAAAAGAAAATCATAAATCCATTCTTTCTTTTTTTTTTTCTCTCTTTTCTTTTCCGTTTTTAGAGGGGGGGTGTTTTTTTTTGGTTTTGAGAGCGCTCCGGACGGGTGGGAGAGCGCAGACTGCCGGTACAGCTGGAGGAGAGTGAAGGTGTGCGAGCGGAGGGAGGAGCGGCGAGTGATAGCGAGAGGTGGAGAGAGAGAAGGAGAGAGAGACGAGGAAGAGGAGGAGGAGGAGGAGGAGGAAAAGGAAGAGGAGGAGGGACCAGCAGAGGCAGCCCGAGCGCTTCTGTGTGAGCGCTTCTCAGAGCCGGAGACGAGTCCCCGCGGCTCCCTCTCTCCGCCGCTTTCACCAACCAAGCGCTCGTTTTTAGTTTTTTTTTTGTTACTCATAGATCCCATTGTGTAACTTTACTGGGTCCGTCGCCTTCTCGTTGCTATGGAAATGCCGTTGCTCTGCTTAGAATGACTTTAAACAGCTCTACTTCACGTTTTAGTCAGTTAAAAGTGGTTTTATAGCTCAAAAATACCAAGTTAAACAGGCGTTCTGACTGGGAGCGGGGTCGCCTCTCCGCAGATCTGACCTGTGACTTGAACCGGTTTGGTTTCCATGATGATAAAAAGGTTTAATCTCGTACTGTGAAACATTCCAGACAAAGCAGAAGCATCTACATAGAGAAAAGAATGAAACAAACCTTGCGTCTTTGAGAAAGTAAAAATAAAATGTTTTGATTTTTGATTTGATTTTGATACAGAATTCAGCTCGGGACTCGGGACAAGGGACTCGATTTCTTAAATATTCTAGCTGTTTTGAGCTGTTTTTGTGTATTTGTATATTTAGTTTGCTCAAAGATGGAACAGAAACGCAAAATATTTTGCTAAGATTTTGAAAAAGAATTTACTGATTTTAAGTGATTCAACTGATTTCTTAATTGTTCTAGCTGCGTTTGTGTATTTGTGTATTTAGTTTGCTCAAAAATGGGACTGAAACTCAAATGAAAAATAAGTCTTGACCATTTCAGCAGGTCTCAAACCGAAAAGTAAAAAAATGCATCTTTGAGAGTAAAAAGTAAAAGTACTTTGACTTTTGATTTGATTTTGATACAGAATTTAGCTGATTTTAAGCAATTCAAATAGTTTCTGAAATTTCCTAGCTCTTTCTGTGTTTTGTGTATTTAGTTTGCTCAAAGATGGGACAGAAACTCAAGTGAAATGTGTAAAAAAAATAACTCCGCCATTTCAGCAGGTCTCAAACCAAAAAGATGCATCTTTGAGAGTAAAAAGTAAAAGTATTTTGAATTTGATTTGGTTTTGATACAGAATTTAGCAGATTTTAAGCGATTCAACTGATTTCTTAAATGTTCTAGCTGTTTTTGTGTATTTGTGTATTTGGTTTGCTCAAAGATGTGACAGAAACTCAAATGAAATGTGCTAAAAAAAAAAATTAAAAAAAAAGTCTCTGCCATTTCAGCAGGTCTCAACCATAAAGTACATAAAATACTTTTTACTTTTCAATCCAGATTTACAATCCAGATTGTAATGTAGAAAGTATTAGAAAGTACAGACATGTGCGCTCAAAACGTTCCAGACAAAGCAAGAACATCTACACGGAAAAAAGAATGAAACGAACCCTCCAACAGAAAAGTTACACAATACATCTTTAAGAGTAAAAAGTAAAAGTATTTTGCCAAGACTTTGATAAAGAATTTAGCTGATTTTTCTCAAAATATTCCAGACAAAGCAAGAACATTTCCATGGAGAAAAGAATGAAAAGGACCTTGCGCCTTTGAAAAAGTAAAAGTAAAAGTATTTTGATTTTTGATTTGATTTTGATACTGAATTTAGCTGATTTTAAGCAAGTCAAATGATTTCTGAAATTTTCTAGCTCTTTTTTGTATTTTGTGTATTTCGTTTGTTCAAAGATGGGACAGAAACTCAAATGAAATGTGCTAAAAAAAAAAAAAAAAGTCTCTGCCATTTCAGCAGGTCTCAAACCATAAAGTACATAAAATACTTTTTACTTTTCAATCCAGATCTAAAATGTAGAGTAGAAAGTATTAGAAAGTACAGACATGTGCGCTCAAACATTCCAGACAAAGCAAGAACGTCTCCAAAAAGAAAAGCATTTGACAAACCCTGTGCCAGAAAAGTTACACAATACATCTTTAAGAGTAAAAAGTAAAAGCAATTTGCTACGATTTTGATAAAGAATTTAGCTGATTTTAAGGGACTCGATTTCTTAAATATTCTAGCTGTTTTTGTGTATTTGTGTATTTGGTTTGCTCAAAGATGGGACAAAAACTCAAATGAAAAAGCAGGTCTCAAACCGAAAATTTAAACAATGCACCTTTGAGAGTAAAAAGTAAAAGTATTTTGCTAAGATTTTGATAAAGAATTTGTCTGATTTTAAGCGACTCAATTGATTTCGTCAATGTTCCAGATGTTTTTGTGTATTTGGTTTGCTCAAAGATATGACAGAAACTCAAGTGAAATGTGCTAAAAATAAGTCTACGCCATTTCAGCAGCTCTCAAACCATAAAGTACATAAAATACTTTTTACTTTTCAATCCAGATTTACAATCCAGATTGTAATGTAGAAAGTATTAGAAAGTACAGACATGTGCGCTCAAAACGTTCCAGACAAAGCAAGAACATCTACACGGAAAAAAGAATGAAACGAACCCTCCAACAGAAAAGTTACACAATACATCTTTAAGAGTAAAAAGTAAAAGTATTTTGCCAAGACTTTGATAAAGAATTTAGCTGATTTTTCTCAAAATATTCCAGACAAAGCAAGAACATTTCCATGGAGAAAAGAATGAAAAGGACCTTGCGCCTTTGAGAAAGTAAAAGTATTTTGATTTTTGATTTGATTTTGATACTGAATTTAGCTGATTTTAAGCAAGTCAAATGATTTCTGAAATTTTCTAGCTCTTTTTGTATTTTGTGTATTTCGTTTGTTCAAAGATGGGACAGAAACTCAAGTGAAATGTGCGGGGAAAAAAAAAAAAAAGTCTCCACCATTTCAGCAGGTCTCAAACTGAAAAGTTAAACAATGCAACTTTAAAAGTAAAAAGTAAAAGTATTTTGCTAAGATTTTGAAAAAGAATTTAGCTGATTTTAAGTGATTCAACTGATTTCTTAAATGTTCTAGCTGTGTTTGTGTATTTGTGTATTTGGTTTGCTCAAAAATGGGATAGAAACTCAATTGAAATGTGCTAAAACTAAGTCTCAGCCATTTCAGCAGATCTAAAACTGTAAAGAAAAGTACTTTTTTCCTTTCAATCCAGATCTAAAATGCAGTTTACAAAATAGAAGAAAGTACAGACGTGCTCTCAAAACATTCCAGACAAAGCAATAACATGTCCAAGGAGAAAAGCATTTGACGAACCCTCCAACAGAAAAGTTACACAATGCACATTTGAAAGTAAAAAGTAAAAGTATTTTTCTATGATTTTGATAAAGAATGTAGCTGATTTTAAGCGATTCAATGGATTTCTTAAATGTTCTAGCTGTTTTCGTGTATTTGTGTATTTAGTTTGCTCAAAGATGGGACAGAAACTCAAATGGAATGTGCTAAAAAAAAGTCTCAGCAGGTCTCAAACCGTGAAGAAAATACTTTTCAGTCCAGATCTAAAATGTAGTGGAGCAGAAAATACAGACACATGTTCTCAAATGTAAAGTAAAAGTAAAAAGTATCCACTGAAAAATGTCCTTAAGTAAAGTCCAGATATCTAAAAATTGTACTGTATAGTAGTATTGTATTTTTACTTTCAGTTTGTAATTACAACTGAAAAGTTCAAGAGCAAAAACAGCTTTCTCTGTTACAAAAAATTGCCATATTGTTTTCTTTCTTTCTTTTTGTTACCATCTCCTACAGATATTATCAATGACAATAATGTGTCTTGTTTTTATCAATAAGGATCGACTGAATAATTTGTTATCAGTAAAATACATTTGGCTTTTGACTCTTCAAATGTTTACTGTGATTGAATAGATTCTGGGGTATTTTTTGGAGTTTTTTTGGAGTAAATTTTTAAACCTGTACTTGTACTTGTGCTTGTAATAGTTTTGTCAAAACACTAAAATTTCAAACTCAATTTTGATCCTAAGGAATAGACTCGATACTCAATACTGATTCCGATACCACGATGATAATAGACACAATCTTTCTTTAGACAACAGAATGTGATTTTCAACATTAAATCATAGCGCTTTCTGTTTGAATTCCCATGTGGTTTTATATGTTTGGAATCCCTCAGTGGTCCTGGTAGGTTCCACAGTCGTCCATGAGTGTTTACTAGTATCAATATTTATTTAAATGAGTTTCTAGTTTGATAGTAGTTTTAGTATTGATTAAGTATTTCAGTACTTTTGACAACCATAACTTGTAATTGAGTATAATTCTATTCGTGTCATTAGATTTTCAAGATTTATTACAATTTGGAAAGATTTTAAGTACCATCATTTCCATCCAGATCTTCACAAACATGTTCTGAAAGTTTATTTGTAGGGCTGAGATGAGATCTCGTGCCACAAGATCTTGCGAGACAAAAATGGTACAAGACTGTGCGCACATGAGAAAAATAATCTTGATTTTTTTTTTTCCCCATTTGAATTCTACAAAAAAGATTTAAGCGCTGGTGGGTTGCATGTTTTGAGAAGTCGTAGTACCAAAAAAGCACTGCAAGAATGAAGTAAATACACATTCTGAAGCCAACTCTGGGACTAAACCGGACTACTTACATTTTAGAAATGACGTTGAAATCTCGTCCTGTCTTGTTCTCATGGACCCAATCTCGTGTTTTGTTATTCAAAGTGCTTTACGCAATAAGAAATACATTAAAAACACAATGCAAAACATAAATAATCATGAAAGCTTTTTTTTTTTTTAAGATACACACAACATAGATAATATGGATTTCAAAAA